AGCAGTTACGCAAGCACTTACGAACCTGGGGCCAGATTCACGAAGCAGTTACGCAGGCACTTACGAACCTGGGGCCAGATTCACGAAGCAGTTACGCAGGCACTTACGAACCTGGGGCCAGATTCACGAAGCAGTTACGCAGGCACTTACGAACCTGGGGCCAGATTCACGAAGCAGTTATGCAACCACTTACGAACCTGGGGCCAGATTCACGAAGCAGTTACGCAGGCACTTACGAACCTGGGGCCAGATTTACGAAGCAGTTACGCAAGCATTTACGAACCTGGGGCTAGATTCACGAAGCATTTACGCAAGCACTTACGAACCTGGGGGCTAGATTCACGAAGCAGTTACGCAAGTACTTACGAACCTGTCCATCTTTTCTCAATCTTTGGCGGCTTTGGTTACAATTATTAAACAGTTAATGAGCTCCGAAGCACCAGGAGGCTGTTTATAACAATAACAATAGTTGATTGGCAAGTTTTCATGCTTGTAAACTGTTTAATAAATGTAGCCAAAGCCGTCAAACAGTTTACAAACATGAAAACTTGCCAATCAACTGTTGTTATTGTTATAAATAGCCTCCTGGTGCTTCGGAGCTCATTAACTGTTTAATAATTGTAAACAAAGCCGCCAAAGATTGTGAAAAGATGGACAGGTTCGTAAGTGCTTGCGTAACTGCTTCGTGAATCTGGCCCCCAGGATCCCATCACAATGGTTGTACTCTTCAAGTCACTTGTGTTGTCCCGTCTTGAGTACTGCTCAGTACTCACTTTCCCCTTCAGAGCAGGAGAGATTGCTGAAATAGAGGGAATACAGAGAACATATACGGCACACATAGACGAGATAAAGCACCTAAATTATTGGGATCGTCTCAAAGCCCCCCAAATGTACTCACTAGAAAGGAGACGAGAGAGATACCAAATAATATACACATGGAAAATACTTGAGGGCCAGGTCCCTAATCTACACAGTAAAATAACAATGTACTGGAGTGAACGATATGGAAGAAAATGCAAGATTGAACCAGTGAAGAGCAGAAGTGCCATAGGTGTGCCATAGAGGTGCCATAGGCACAATCAGAGAACACTGTATAAACATCAGAGGTCCGCGGTTGTTCAACGTCCTCCCAGCGAGCATAAGAAATATTGCCGGAACAACCGTGGACATCTTCAAGAGGAAACTGGACGGTTTTCTAAGAGAAGTTCCGGATCAGCCGGGCTGTGGTGGGTACGTGGCCCTGCGGGCCGCTCCAAGCAACAGCCTGGTGGACCAAACTCTCACAAGTCAAGCCTGGCCTCGGGCCGGGCTTGGGGAGTAGAAGAACTCCCAGAACCCCATCAACCAGGTATATGTGGGCCTGCGGGCCGCTCCAAGCAACAGCCTGGTGGACCAAACTCTCACAAGTCAAGCCTGGCCTCGGGCCGGGCTTGGGGAGTAGAAGAACTCCCAGAACCCCATCAACCAGGTATATGTGGGCCTGCGGGCCGCTCCAAGCAACAGCCTGGTGGACCAAACTCTCACAAGTCAAGCCTGGCCTCGGGCCGGGCTTGGGCAGTAGAAGAACTCCCAGAACCCCATCAACCAGGTATCAAAACGAAGCCCTTATGTTAGCTGGCTGACTGTCCCCCACAGCGGGTACAAGGACCAGACACAGCGGGTACAAGGACCAGACACAGCGGGTACAAGGACCAGACACAGCGGGTACAAGGACCAGACACACAGCGGGTACAAGGACCAGACACAGCGGGTACAGCAAGACACAGCGGGCACAGCAAGACACAACGGGCACAGCAAGACACAGCGGGAACAACAAGACCGGACACAGCGGGAACCACAGACCGGACACAGCGGGTACAAGGACCACAGACCGGACACAGCGGGTACAAGGACCACAGATCGGACACAGCGGATACCACAGACCGGACACAGCGGGTACCACAGACAGAACACAGCGGATACCACAGACCGGACACAGCGGGCACCACAGACCGGACACAGCGGGCACAGCAAGACACAGCGGGCACCACAGACCGGACACAGCGGATACCACAGACCGGACACAGAGGGTACCACACACCGGACACAGCGGGTACCACAGATCGGACACAGCGGGCACCACAGACCGGACACAGCGGGCACAGCAAGACACAGCGGGTACCACAGACCGGACACAGCGGGTACCACACACCGGACACAGCGGGTACCACACACCGGACACAGCGGGTACCACAGACCGGACACAGCGGGTACCACACACCTGACACAGCGGGTACCACAGGGACGGACACAGCGGGTACAAGGACCGGACACAGCGGGTACCACAGACCGGACACAGCGGGTACCACAGACCGGACACAACGGGTACCACAGACCGGACACAGCGGGTACAAGGACCGGACACAGCGGGTACCACAGGGACGGACACAGCGGGTACAAGGACCGGACACAGCGGGAACCACAGACCGGACACAGCGGGTACCACACACCGGACACAGCGGGTACCACAGACCGGACACAGCGGGCACCACAGACCGGACACAGCGGGCACCACAGACCGGACACAGCGGGTACCACAGACCGGACACAGCGGGCACAGCAAGACACAGCGGGCACCACAGACCGGACACAGCGGGTACCACAGACCGGACACAGCGGGTACCACACACCGGACACAGCGGGCACAGCAAGACACAGCGGGCACCACCGACCGGACACATCGGGTACCACAGACCGGACACAGCGGGCATCACAGACCGGACACAGCGGGTACCACAGACCGGACACAGCGGGCACCACAGACCGGACACAGCGGGCACAAACAAGACACAGCGGGCACAGCAAGACACAGCGGGTACCACAGACCGGACACAGCGGGCACAAGACACAGCGGGCACAGCAAGACACAGCGGGCACCACACACCAGACACAGCGGGCACCACACACCGGACACAGCGGGCACAAGACACAGCGGGCACAGCAAGACACAGCGGGCACAAACAAGACACAGCGGGCACCACAGACCGGACACAGCGGGTACCACAGACCGGACACAGCGGGTACCACAGACCGGACACAGCACAAACAAGACACAGCGGGCACAGCAAGACACAGCGGGTACCACAGACCGGACACAGCGGGCACAAGACACAGCGGGCACAGCAAGACACAGCGGGCACCACACACCGGACACAGCGGGCACCACAGACCGGACACAGCGGGCACAAGACACAGCGGGCACAGCAAGACACAGCGGGCACCACACACCGGACACAGCGGGCACCACAGACCGGACACAGCGGGCACCACACACCGGACACAGCGGGCACAAGACACAGCGGGCACAGCAAGACACAGCGGGCACCACACACCGGACACAGCGGGCACCACAGACCGGACACAGCGGGCACCACACACCGGACACAGCGGGCACCACACACCGGACACAGCGGGCACCACAGACCAGACACAGCGGGCACCACAGACCGGACACAGCGGGTACCACAGACCGGACACAGCGGGCACCACACACCGGACACAGCGGGTACCACACACCGGACACAGCGGGCACCACAGACCGGACACAGCGGGCACCACAGACCGGACACAGCGGGCACCACAGACCGGACACAGCGGGTACCACAGACCGGACACAGCGGGCACAAACAAGACACAGCGGGCACAGCAAGACACAGCGGGCACCACACACCAGACACAGCGGGCACCACACACCGGACACAGCGGGCACAAGACACAGCGGGCACAGCAAGACACAGCGGGCACAAACAAGACACAGCGGGCACAAACAAGACACAGCGGGCACAAACAAGACACAGCGGGCACAAACAAGACACAGCGGGCACCACACACCGGACACAGCGGGCACAAGACACAGCGGGCACCACACACCGGACACAGCGGGCACCACACACCGGACACAGCGGGCACCACAGACCGGACACAGCGGGCACAAGACACAGCGGGCACAGCAAGACACAGCGGGCACCACACACCGGACACAGCGGGCACAAGACACAGCGGGCACAGCAAGACACAGCGGGTGCCACAGACCGGACACAGCGGGCACCACAGACCGGACACAGCGGGCACAGCAAGACACAGCGGGCACCACACACCGGACACAGCGGGCACAGCAAGACACAGCGGGTGCCACAGACCGGACACAGCGGGCACCACAGACCGGACACAGCGGGCACAAACAAGACACAGCGGGTACAGCAAGACACAGCGGGCACCACACACCGGACACAGCGGGCACCACACACCGGACACAGCGGGCACCACACACCGGACACAGCGGGCACCACACACCGGACACAGCGGGCACAAGACACAGCGGGCACAGCAAGACACAGCGGGCACCACACACCGGACACAGCGGGTACCACAGACCGGACACAGCGGGTACCACAGACCGGACACAGCGGGTACCACAGACCGGACACAGCGGGCACCACAGACCGGACACAGCGGGCACAAGGACCGGACACAGCGGGTACAGCAAGACACAGCGGGCACCACACACCGGACACAGCGGGCACAAGACACAGCGGGCACAGCAAGACACAGCGGGTACCACACACCGGACACAGCGGGCACCACAGGGACGGACACAGCGGGCACCACAGACCAGACACAGCGGGCACAAGACACAGCGGGCACAGCAAGACACAGCGGGTACCACAGACCGGACACAGCGGGTACAAGGACCGGACACAGCGGGCACAGCAAGACACAGCGGGCACCACAGACCGGACACAGCGGGCACAGCAAGACACAGCCGCGGTTGGCGCCAAAAGACCCACTTCCGCCGCCCAGAAGACTTGACAAGAAACAAAAACTAGAGCCTAAGGCGTCTGATCTTGGCCAACAAATCAAATCTCTCCGCTGCCTATCACATTTGCACCCTCTAATGAGGCCAGAGCCGCGGGTAATTAAGGCTAAATTTGCAAAATAAGTGGGTAATTGTTGGCACTTACCGATGGACGAGGACCCCAAGGCGGTCAGCATGTCCAACGAGGCCTGGCCGTCAAACTACGCACTCCCAGATCCACTCTTTCAACGTTTGATTATGAAAAGCGCGTTCGCTCCGCTGATTACGTACATATGAAGTAATATGGTCGCTAGACAAGATCTCAATGAAGATTTCCCAATACTAACTTTCCTTGTTAAACCTATCTCCTCTTGTTAAGGGCTAGGCGCATTGGGCGAGCCCGCTCGGCCAATCAGCGCGTCTGTAGCGCTGCGGGGAGCGGGGAGTGGGCGGGGCCTGGCCTCCTGGCTCCGCCTACTCCCCGCCCACCCGGCCAATAGCAGCCCAGGACGCTTATACGAAGAATAATCTGCCGCCAAATTGGAGATAATACACAATGGAAACCATACAATTGAACGGATTGCGGGAAAATTGCTTCAACGCCGGCGGGAAAGACGTTTAAAACGTAAACCTGCGACGTATTGCTCTGGAACGTGAGTAAATCCGCGTTAAAATAGGGTGGGATAGAGGCGGTGGAGCGGGAGACATATTGGCGCCTCTGGCAAGTCAAGCGGCCCGCCAAGCCGGCCCCATCCATCATGGCCGCCGCGCCACCGTTCCATCCGTCAATTGTCAAAACCTGTGATTGAATTTCATCCCCTTTCTCTTTGTATGACCAATACCGGTGATCGCTCCCTCCCCTATACTCACTAACATCAATTACCAATTAGTGGGCATAAAGAGCCGTGTGTGTGTGTGTACCGGGCCACCCAGAGACCATCCTGGGCCACACAGAGCCAGTCTGGACCACCCTGGACCATCCCGGCCCACCCCGGGCCACTCTGGACCACCGTGGGCCAGCCAGGGCCAAGACAAGCTGGTGAAACATTTCACTTTGCGTCATAAAGCCTTTATGATGGCTAATACCACCCATACACGGGTGTGTATGGGTGTATACTGTATGGGGGGGGTGTAGGGTGTAGTGTAGTTGGTATACCCGTCAATACTTGTGTGGAGGGTTGAGCTTCAGCTCCTCAGGTCCGCCTCTCAACCACCGAGCAACTCTCACTGTTTCAGTGTAACTCATACCCTCCCCCCCCCCCCACTGTGGCGTGTGTATGCTCTCAGAGATGTGTTTGTAGGGTGGAAACTTAGCTCCTGAGCCCCGCCTCTTGTTCTGCTCTACGTACGGTCGATTATTGTCCTTTGTAATGAATCATTGTGTTCATTTAACACAGCCGTGTTAAATGCTCTTGGCGGGGGCTCTTGCTCTTGGCGGGGGCCAAGAGCTGGTGCCTGCGGGCACATCTAGGTGAGTACACACACACACACACACACACACACACACACACACACACACACACACACACACACACACACACACACACACACACACACACAGACGACGCCAAAATTATGAGAAGGATTAAGACAGAGGAGGACAGCTTGAGGCTTCAAGAAGATCTGGACAAGCTGCAGGAATGGTCGAACAAATGGTTGTTAGAGTTTAACCCAAGCAAATGTAATGTAATGAAGATAGGAGTAGGAAGCAGGAGACCAGATACAAGGTATCACTTGGGAGATGAAATACTTCAAGAGTCAGAGAGAGAGAGAAAGACCTGGGGGTTGATATCACGCCAGACCTGTCCTCTGAAGCTCATATCAAGAGGATAACAGCAGCAGCATATGCCAGGTTGGCTAACATAAGAACGGCCTTTAGAAACTTGTGGAAGGAATCTTTCAGAACATTATATACCACATATGTCAGACCAATCCTGGAGTATGCGGCTCCAGCATGGAGTCCATATCTAGTCAAGCATAAGACTAAACTGGAAAAGGTTCAAAGGTTTGCCACCAGATTAGTACCCGAGCTGAGAGGTATGAGCTACGAGGAGAGACTACGGGAATTGAACCTCACTTCGTTGGAAGACAGAAGAGTTAGGGGGGACATGATCACCACATTCAAGATTCTCAAGGGAATCGACAGGGTTGATAAAGATAGGCTATTTAACACAAGGGGAACACGCACAAGGGGACACAGGTGGAAACTGAGTGCCCAAATGAGCCACAGAGATATTAGGAAGAACTTTTTTAGTGTCAGAGTGGTTGACAAATGGAATGCATTAGGAAGTGATGTGGTGGAGGCTGACTCCATACACAGTTTCAAGTGTAGATATGATAGAGCCCAATAGGCTCAGGAACCTGTACACCAGTTGATTGACGGTTGAGAGGCGGGACCAAAGAGCCAAAGCTCAACCCCCGCAAGCACAACTAGGTGAGTACAACTAGGTGAGTACACACACACACACACACACACACACACACACACACACACACACACACACACACACACACACACACACACACACACACACACACACACACACCACAGAAAAAAAAGTTCAGAGGTATGCCACTAGACTAGTCCCAGAACTAAGAGGCATGAGTTACGAGGAAAGGCTGCGGGAAATGCACCTCCTGACACTGGAAGACAGAAGAGTCAGGGGAGACATGATCACTACCTACAAAATTCTCAGAGGAATTAACAGGGTAGATAAGGATAAACTGTTTAACACTGGCGGGACGCGAACAAGGGGACACAGGTGGAAACTGAGTACCCACATGAGCCACAGAGACGTTAGAAAGAACTTTATTTCAGTGTCAGAGTAGTTAACAGGTGGAATGCATTAGGCAGTGATGTGGTTGTTATCTTGAGGTTATCTTGAGATGATTTCGGGGCTTTAGTGTCCCCGCGGCCCGGTTCTCGACCAGGCCTCCACCCCCAGGAAGCAGCCCGTGACAGCTGACTAACACCCAGGTACCTATTTTACTGCTAGGTAACAGGGGCATAGGGTGAAAGAAACTCTGCCCATTGTTTCTCGCCGGCGCCTGGGATCGAACCCGGGACCACAGGATCACAAGTCCAGTGTGTTGTCCGCTCGGCCGACCGGCTCCCAGAGGACAGAGAAAAGCTGAAAATGAACCTCACTGAAGCCAAACGTCTAAATGGAGATAGAAATGAAGAAGAAAGAAATTATTTTGTTCTACAAAGTGTCAGGGACTGGGAAGGTTGTGAAATGGTACATAAAGACACAGCAACAAAATCATTACAGGAAGAGAGTGTAAAGAACAAAGGGAAGAGGAACATGTTCCTGAAAATAGTATATACCAACATCGATGGAGTGAGATCGAAAATATTGGAGTTGAAGGATATAATCAAGCTCAAAGTCCCAGATATTGTCCCATTAACACAGACGAAACTTGAAGAAAATATTTTAAATGAAGTGGTGTTCCCAAGAGGCTGCTCAGTTTGGAGACGTGACAGGACAACTAGGAAGGTGGGAGGAGGAGTGACTGTGCTGGTGAAAGAACACCTGAGGGTAAGAGAATTAATGTTTGAAAACCCGCGAGATATTGACATAATGGCATTGCAGATCTGGAACCAGGATGATAAGATAATAACTGTAAATGCCTACAGCCCACCAGCAAGCAACACATGGACAAAGGAAGAACTGGATGACAAACGAGAGGGCCTCGTAATGGTCATGAGAGAGACTATGGTAAGAGCGGACGAAGATAAATCCTGATTGTTGGTACTGAGGGACTTCAACTTTAAGGCAATAGACTGGGAGACCTACGAGGCCAGAACAGAGGACATTTGGACAGGCAGATGAACCTCATCTTGGAGACATTGATGTATCAACACGTCAAGCAGGCCACAAGAATGAGGGAAGGACATGTTCCGTCAGTACTGGATCTAGTATTCAACAGGAAAGAAGAAGAGGTGTGTGACATCCAGTACCTCCCTCCCTTGGGAGAGAGTGATCACGTCCTCTTGGACATTAAATACGCTTTGCGATATAATCTAGTAGAGAATCTAGTGAAACAGTTGTTAAACTCGATTTCAAAAGAGGACGCTATGGGAAACTTAGAAATTTTTTTCTTGGGTATAATTGGACAGACTTGTTGCTAGGCAAGGAAGTAAATGAGATGTATGCCAAATTTTGCACAATATATGCTGAAGGAACACAAACATTCATACCAAAGCAGAGATGCAGACCTGGGAAACTGGGTTGGTTCAACAGAAATTGTGAGAGGGCCAGAGATCAAAAGACACAAGCATGGAATCATTATAGGAAGAGGCCAAACCCACAAACCTACCAGCGATACAAAGATGCAAGAAACAACTACACGTCAGAGAGGCAGAGAGGAACATTGAGAACGGTATAGCAGACAAATGTAAATCAGGTCCAGGCCTTTTCTATATATTCATTAAAAGCAAGCTGTAGGTAAAGGATAATATTCAGAGGTTGAAAATGGGGGACAGATACACGGAAAATGAAAAGGAAATGTGTGAAACATTAAACGAAAAGTTCCAAAGTGTGTTTGTACAAAATGAGATCTTCAGGGAACCAGACACAATAAGAATTCCAGAGAACAACATAGAGCACATAGAGGTGTCTAGAGACGAAGTGAAACAAATGCTCAAGGAGCTAAGTAAGAACAAAGCAGTTGGCCCAGATGGAGTTTCACCATGGGTTCTGAGAGAATGTGCACCTGAGCTCAGCATTCCACTTCAACTGATTTTTCAGGCATCCCTGTGTACAGGAGTTGTAGCAGATGTGTGGAAACAGGCTAACATAGTTCCAATCTACAAAAGTGGCAGCAGGGAAGACCCCCTCAATTATAGACCTGTATCATTGACAAGTGTAATAGTCAAAATATTGGAAAAAATAATTAAAACTAAATGGGTAGAACACCTGGAGAGAAACGATATAATATCAGACAGACAGTATGGTTTTCGATCTGGAAGATCCTGTGTATCGAATTTACTCAGTTTCTATGATCGAGCCAGAGATTTTACAGAAAAGAGATGGTTGGGTTGACTGCATCTATCTGGACCTAAAAAAGGCTTTCGACAGAGTTCCACATAAGAGGTTGTTCTGAAAACTGGAACATATTGGAGGGGGGTGACAGGTAAGCTTCTAACATGGATGAAAAATTTTCTGACCGATAGAAAAATGAGGGCAGTAATCAGAGGCAATTTATCAGACTGGAGAAATGTCACAAGTGGAGTACCACAGGGTTCAGTTCTTGTACTGGTGATGTTCATTGTCTACATAAATGATCTACCAGATG